ATATTAAAGGCAACTTTGGCAAATCCATTGAAATGTGGGAATATAATCATTAAGACTTTAAAAGATATCCCATTTGAAATACGTCAAAAGAGGGAAAGCTACAAGGATCTAATCTCTTTTCTTCAAACTAATGGAATTCAGTACCGGTGGGCGATTCCTGAAGATGTCATCTTTAAAATCAATGATAAAAAAGAGAAGATTGACTCCCTCTTTAAAGCTAAGGAATTTTTGAGACGTCAGCTAGGGCCGAAGAACTTAAAGATGAAGAAACCAAGTGACTCTGCTACTTCTGGAACGGACGAGGACTCTGTGGGTGAAGCGGGAGCGGGAGCAGCGAAAACTGTATATGACTTTAGAGATAGAAAACCGAAGTAAGGGCAGAAGGACTCTATAAATCGCTCTATGAAGTAAAGAAGACGCTCAATAAGTACTCTCACAAAAACTAATTTACTAATATAGAAGCTGTGTAAAACAAGAATATCACAAGTATATTGTTTTACTAACACTTATAGGACTTACATTTAGATTAACATGGAAATGATCTCCTACTCTTGGGTTTTTAATTAGTGTGGGTATCTTTACTTTATCCCTAGTTGTAGTCCCCTCCCTGTATTTTTCATTGTAGTTTATAGTCTTATGAAAAATAATAAAAATACCCCCTTGGGGGTTTCAAAAAAAAAGAACAGCTGGCAGGCATGATTACAGAGAATCAGCAGATTAAAGTGGTATTAATAAGAGATAAAGAATATAAGATTAGTTTATATGTAGATGATGTAATGTTAGCAGTAATTGATCCTTTAAATTATTGTTGTAATGAATATGGTTTGGTCTCAGGATATTGTTTGAATAAGTCTAAACTTGAAATACTGACACTAAATATGAATCAATATATTAAAAAAATCAGATTCTTAAATCTACACGACTAAAATGTGCAAATACCTCAATCCAGTGCTTTGGTATATGAATACCTTCAATTCCAACAGGTTTGCTTTAAAATAAGAGAACAAAATTCAAGTCCAGTGGCACCTTTGAGTTTTATTCAAGGTATAAGCTTCCGTGCGCACGCACACTTCTTCAGATACACTGAAATGTACGTTACCAGTCCATACATTTAGGCAGAGGGTGAGCAGCAAATTAGTATAAGTATAATAAAGGTCATTTAACAGATGTGAGGACCAAACTGAAATAACAAGCTTTGTTTATATGGTCACCATTTGTTTGGGCTTAATTCAGGGGGGGAAATAGTGAAGGAAAATGTATATCAAAATTGGAGATTGATGTGCAAATGTACCCTTCTTAATAGTGGAATGCTGAGAGTAATTAACTGAGACCCTGTTGTTATACTCAATCTGTCTTCTCTTAAGCATGAAGAAATAAAATAAGTTCATGACTTTAAAATAAGTTTGTAAGAGTTTTTTTTAACCCCCCCCCTCGAAGTATACATGGAGTGATTTGCAGCTGTGTTGGCTAGGAAAAATAGTTCGATTTAAAATGATGTTGCTTCAAAAATATTATTTGTATTTGAAAATGTCCCAATAAATATTCCAATTTAAATCTCTAAACACATGGCAAAAGGATATACCCTGATGGGATGCAAACTGGTGGTAAATGACCAGGAGAGGGATCTTGGAGTCATGGTAGATAACTCACTGAGGATGTCGCAGTGTGCAACTGCAATAAAAGAGGCAAATGCTATGCTAGGGATTATTAGGAAGGGGACTGAAAACAAAACAGCCAGTATCATAATGCCCGTATATAAATTGATGGTGCGGCCTCATTCGGAATACTGTGTGCAGTTCTGGTCACCACTCCTCAAAGAAGATATTATAGCATTGGAAAAGGTGCAAAAAAAGGCAACTATAATTATTAAGGGGATGGAATACTTTCCCTATGAAGAAAGTTTAAAAAGGTTACAGCTCTTTAGCCTCGAGTAACGACAACTGAGTGGTGACATGATAGAGCTTTACAAAATTACGCATGGGATTCTCCCAATACAAGAACTTGTGGGCACTCAATGAAATTAATGAGCAGTATGCTTAGAACAGATAAAAGGAAGTACTTCTTCAACCAAAGAGTAATTAACACATGGAATTCGCTGCCACAGGAAGTGGTGGCAGCTATAAACATAGACAGCTTCAAGAGGGGATTGGATAAACATATGGAGCAGAGGTTTATCAGTGGCTCTTAGCCACAAAGTATAGATGGAACACTATTTCTGGGGCATATTCAAGTGGGTAGCCGTGTTGGTCGAGTCCAATGGTATCTTTAAGACCAACAAAGTTTTATGCAAGGGGCAGTGATGCTTAGTATTCTTGGTGCTTGGGGGGCGACAGTGGGAAGGCTTGTGGAGTTCTGATCCCACTGGTGGACCTCCTGATGGCACCTGGTTTTTGGCCACTGTGTGACACAGAGCGTTGGATTGGCTGGGCCATTGGCCTGATCCAACATGACTTCTCTTATGTTCTTATGACAAAATAGATAGGATCTAATTTAAAAATCTGGAATAGCCATATCCACCTTACCCAAAAAAAATAAGATGAATTTGATTTGATGGCTGGTTTTAGAGAAAGAAATATCAATATCAAAGATTCATTTTAGACATTACATTAATCCAATACAAAGCAGAAGGGAAGTTTTTAGCCAATATAACAGCTTTTGAACATATATTATGTCAGACACAAGAAATGATAGAACTGTTAACAAGAATATATAAGTGCTTAATGACACAAATTCCTATAACAAACTAATTTTCTTTAGAAACTGGGAGAAACAGTTCCTTTGTACAATTTCTGAGCAGAAACAGAAAACATTTACAAGAGGTCCTGTTAAAACAATAAGTATTACCTTAATAGATATTTGAATAACTTTTATTTATGATACTATACCCCTCAGAAATTGATTCATATTTATGAGGAAGTATAAATGATGGAGGATGTGGATATAGCATAGTATAGTCTGATCTTGTCAGATCCTGGAAGCTAAACTGTGTTAGTACTTGGACTGGAGATCACCAAGGAAGACGTTGCAGAGGAAGGCCATAGCAAACGACCTCTGCTTAATCACTTGTCTTGAAAACCATACTGGGTAGCCATAAGTTAACTTTGTTCCCAAGTCCATATTGTTACATTTAGTATATGATGTAGTTCCTGCAACAAACAGAAATATGATTCATAATGTACTAAATGCAGCAAAGCTGTTAATAGTAAAAAATTGGAAGAGTGCTGAATTGATAAACATTATTGTGGATTCAAAAAAGTATGGTATCTGGTGAAGACGTCTAGATCAACATAATTAGTCCATGTTATAAGGACTGGGAGACAAAAGCAACCTTTTTCTTTAAAAGATGGCAGACATTCTTAGATTTCTGGTATCAAAAACTTGTCTTAGTTATTGACATTTTTAACTGCTCTTCTTTGATTTAGTACATAATAAATAGGTGTAGATGTAATACATGATATTTATATGTTTGTATGTGATACGTTGTATATGAAATTATTGTATTGTGTTATTTTTTCAGATTGCAAAGTCGATTTATCATTCTTGATAGATGGGAGCTGGAGTATTGGGAAACGCCGCTTTCAGATCCAAAAACAATTCCTCAAAGACGTAGCTCAAGCCCTGGATGTTGGTATAGCTGGTCCTCTCATGGGCATCATTCAATATGGGTAAGAAATGTATATATTATCAAACCATATACACTGTATAATAACTGTTTCCCTAACTATACGTAGCTGCGATGCAAGAATTTTCTAGATACATTTTACGTCCATGTTTTTAAAATGTCAGTAGAACTGAATCTTGTGAAGTAACATAGATAAGGGAGGTACAGTATTAAAATTATAGGATTCCCAGTCTATTAATCCTGTCTTTCAGTCTTTCAGAACCTCACCACAAAAGTCTTTCAGAACCTCACCACAAATTTGAGTACCATGGTCTAAGATCCAGCATTTTACTTCTTAAGCAAAGATTTGTTTCCTGATTGTGATATAACGAAGATATAAGTATAACAAATAATTTTTTCTCCCTCTCCCAAAATACTAGATCTCAAGGGATCCACAGAAGCTGCTGGACAGTAGGTCCAGGACGAACTAAAAGAAATACTACTTTACCCAGAGAGTGATTAAAATGTGGAATTTGCTGCCAGAGGATGTAATGATGGCCACAGGAATAAACATCTTTAAAAGGGGACTAGATAGATTCATGGAGGATGTCTATCAGTGGCTGCTAGCCATAGTGATTGAGGGGAATGTCCATATTCAGAGGCACTAATCCTCCAAATCCCAGAGACAACATCAAGGAAAGGCCTCAGCCTCTATTAGGAATGGGCACAAACCAGGAAAATGCAGTTTGGTTTGTGGTTCACAGCATTCCCAGTTCGCGCACCACAAACCGTCATGAACTTTTAGCTGCCATACAAACCGGTTGGGCTTATGATATGGTAGAATGGCCTCCTAGTATGCCCTCCAAGTTTAGTGAAGATTGGGTTTACCTGGTCTGAGTTATGGGCCCCCTTCTAAAGAAGGTGCCCGCAGGAAACTGCTTCCTGGGGAAATGACCACCTGTCATTTCCCCAGAAAACACTTTCCTAGAGGCACCTTCTTTGGAGACTGGAACTCAGACCCTGTAAATCCAATCCTCACCAAACTTGGAGGATGGGTAAAGGAGAGGCATCTAGAGATCCTCCGTGAGTTTGGTGTCTCTAGCTTGCACAGGATCCATTCTATACACTCCTGAACCTGTCATTTTCCCCAGGTGCAGGTTCAGGAGTTTATAGAATGGATCCTGTGCAAGCTAGAGTCATCAGTCATAGAGGACCTTCCCTGGATTCTCCTCTACATGCTCTCCAAGTTCCAGCCCCCCTATTGCTTTGAAGTTTTGTAAACATTTAGAGTGAGTGGGGACAGTCTGTCTGGAAATGTATCCGTTCTCAAACCACCACAAACTGCTGGAAAGTTCGTGCCAATTGACCTGCCACAAACCTCCCTTCATGAACCATGAACCAACCAGAATTCATCATGGACTTCAGTTCATAAGCTGGTTCATGTCCATCCCTAGCCTCTATACCCTGTTGCTGGCTGTCCAGAGGAACCGGTTGGCCTCTTTGTGAGACAGGATGCTGGACTAGATGGACTACTGGGTCTGATCCGCCAAAGACAATAGGGAACCCTTAGTGGTGGGTGTTGTTGTGGCTATACTGGGTCTGATCCAGCAGGGCTCTTCCTATGTTCTTATGTTCTTTGTATAATTGATTGATTGGATCCTTTCCAATCTGGTGTTAGGCCTTGTTATGGTACTGAAACAGCTATGGTCCCTCTGGTGGATGACCTGCACTGGTAGATGAACGGAGGGATTGTGACTGTTATTTCTCCTGAATTTCTGAGCACCTTTTTATATCATCAATCATTGATATTTCTGGACTGCCTTTCTGGGCTGGAACTGGAAGGCATCATTTTGTGGGTGTTCTGGTCCTACCTGAGGGTAGGTTTCAGAAAGTAGTGCAGGGGGATGGCTGCTAATACCCTTTGGCCTGTGGAGTCCCACAAAGCTCCATCTTTTCTCCTATGCTTTCCAACATCTACATGAAACTGATGGATGAGATCATCTGGAAATTTGGGCTTGGTTGTCACCAGTTTGTAGATGACACTCAGCTCTATTTTCCACTTCCTGCCAATCCCAGGGAAGCTGTAGAAACCCTGAACCAGTAAATGGAGACAGTTTTGGAATGGATGCAGGCTAATAAAATGAAGCTTAATCCTGGCAAGATGGAAGTGTTACTGGTGAACACAAGGTCTGACCTGGAACTTAAGTTGTCACCTGATCTAGATGGAGTTGCACTCCCCTTGAAAGAATAGATCTGTAGACTGAGGGTGCTCTTGGACTCAGGCCTACTGCTAGATAAGCAGGTGGTAGCTGTGGCCAGGAGTTCATTTTACCAGCTTCAATTGGTTAGCCAGGTGCAACCTTTTTTGGGTGGGAAAGATCTGGCCACAGTGGTGCATGCCCTGGTTGCCCCTACTTTAGTTCACTGCAATGTGGTCTACATAGGACTGCCCTTGAGAAGTGTTGAAAACTGAATGCTGCAGTCAGGATGTTGACTGGAGTGGGTTGTAGGGACCATACTACTCCAGTCTTTGCCCATCTACACTTCAGAGTCCCTGCTTCAGGTGCCTGCCTTCTGACATTAAGCAGGTGGCCATGTGGGAGACAGCCTTCTCTGTTGCGACACCAAAACTCTGGAACTCCTTCCCCAAAGACACTCACCTGTCCCCTTCTCTTGTTGTCTTCCATCAGTGGGTGAAGACTTTTTTGTTTCACCTGATGTTCCCTCAGTGATCCCTCCCTCCTGCCTTATGTTTTAATCATCATTTTTATGTATGTGTATTTTAACTTGGTTTCGATTGTTTTGATGATGTGTTTTTGTTTGGTTTTAATGGTTTTTAAGATTTAGGTTTGAAGATGTGGTTTTATATTAATCTGGTAGATGCCTTGGGGGCCCTGATAAGGGAGGAAGGTGGGTTGTATATTTTGCAAATAAATAAGCAAAATATTTTACTTCATCATCTACACCAAGATTATACACTTGTCAGGAATGCTCTAGGCTGATCCTGCATTGAGGGGGTTGGACTAGATGGCCTGTATGGCCCCTTCCAATCTGAGATTCTATGATTCTATGCTTTCATTACTCTTATCACATTCAGGTAACACAGGCACAAATACCTTGCCTGAATAGTTAGAATATGAACCTCAGACCATACTGACAAGGAAAACCAGAGGACCAAACTACATGAGACACTGGAGATCTGTGTCGGATCTCTCATTTCTTTTAACAGCAGCTGTGATAGGAAAGGGCAAACTGGATCAAGGCCATAGTGCTGAGTTGTATGAGAGTAACTCATTCCCACACACCGTTTCCCCAAAGCTACTGTTCATTGATCAGGAAAATACAAGTACCTGTAAGTTTTTTCATATTAAGGCAACAGTTTTAGGTGTGGAACGAACTTGCCTTCCAGCATCATGGCTCCAGTGCAGTTTGACTCTGCCACCTACCCCAGCAACTATTAAAAGAAATATGAAGATACAAGAGATCCCATCATATGTCTTTACTACCTTACCTAGTTTGTGGCTGAATTCTTTCATTTTACTTTGGGAGTGAGGATATCTTTAAGGGGTTACACTCCCCTTAAAGTCAGTTTCAGAGCTTGGAAGTGCTGCTGATACAGCAGATACCTTAGAAAACCAGGTGGCTGCGGTGGTTGGGAGTGCCTTCACTTTTGCCCAGCTTCAGCCGTGCCTGTTCCTAGTTCGGTCACATCTAGTCACAATGATCCATGCCTTAGTTACATCTAGACTGGGCTACTGCGACATGCTCTACTTGGGGCTGTCTTGAATAGTGTCTGGAAGTTGCAGGTAGTGCAGAATGCTGCAGCTAGACTGCTGGCTGGGGCCAACTATCGGGAGCATGTGACTCCAATATTACAGCAATCATACCAGTTACCAATTTGCTCCTGAGCCCAATTCAAGGTGTTGGTTTTGCCCTTTTAAGGCCCACATGGCTTGAGACCAGGGTATCGGAATAACGGTCTTCTTCCATATGCTCCTACCTAGAAATTACGGACACAGGGAGAGGCTATCTTGACTCTCCCATCAGTTAAACAGTGCCTTTTTGGTTGCAGCCCCATAATTATAAAACTGTCTCCCAAGAGAGGTGTACCTGGCCACCACACTCTCAATCTTTAGGAGGCATCTGAAGAGGATTTTATTCAGGATAGCATTCGATTAGTTTCATGGCCCTTAATGTATTTTTATGTTTTATGTTCTATTTACATTGCAAACTACCTGGAATTCCATAAGGTAGCAAAGGTGGCTAATAAATGTTTTTTAAAAAATAAGACAATATACAGTTGTGCAAATAATTAATGTAATTATCTGGTGTTATTCATTATTCCAGAGATCATTTGTGCAATTGGGGTAAAAATAAGACAATAATTGCAAATAATTTATGTAATTATCTGGTGTTATTCATTATTCCAGAGATCATTTGTGCAATTGGGGTGTCCGTGCATGGGGGGGGGTTAATATCAGTTTCAGTGGAGCCCTCTTTCATTCTTAGCTATATGAACACTGCACATATCAGCAGGTACATGAAATAAGAGACTCACATATGCCATGCATCTAGCCATCCTTTTTCTAACAGGATATATATATGGCATCCTATTATCAGTAATGACCAACACAGTGCCATACAGCCCATTTACAGCTGGAGAAAGGAAAGGGCTCAACTGGCCCCTATGTCTGCCCATTCTCACATGCACAAATGTGCCTTTGGTGGGCCCAGTGTGTGGGGGGGTAATACATGTACACACCAAGGTGGATTCTGCTATTAATGTCATAGTCTTAAATCTACAGTTTGTATAACATAGCCTTTACATGTCTTTTCCTGGAGATAATACAAGGGAAATTTCTCTACATAAGACTATGTTTTGTTTGAATATAGTGATGACCCATCTACTGAATTTAATTTGAAGACCTATTCAAATTCTAAGGATTTGAAAAACGCTATTGAGAAAATATTACAGAAAGGAGGATTATCCAATGTCGGTATGTAACTTGAATGATATATATTCACAGCTAATCAGCTTAGGAATCAGAAGACCAGCCACAGTGGTATGCTAGATATTCTAGACAGATTCAGGTCAAGACCTCTCTCAAGTTACTTTCACCTATTTCTGAGTGCCCTCCCCCCCAAGTGGAAAATATTATTTCGAGAAATTCATGAACTAGCATGTGAAAGAGTAAAAAAATGTTTTATATTCATTTTACAGCATAAATACACCCACAGTGGGCTATCACACAAAGTCGGACTCTGTGTGGGGTTGCAAAAAAAAACTTCAATGCCAAATACCTTAATTCTATGCAAGAAAATAACAGGGTTCTCATGGAACAATCCATCCCATCTTTCATCTTCTTTGTTAGAGGTTAAAGAGTCATTCATCTCAATCCAGCAAGGATGATTACATGCCAAGGCAAAGCCCTTGAAGGATTTGGGACTGCATAGAGACGCTCTATGTAAAGGCATTTGGATGTGAGGAAACATTAGCATTTGGAAGTGACTGCATTTTGACTGCATGGCTTTTGTGGTGGCTCACATTTCCATAGAGACTGCAATATGAATGGAAGCATACATCCCCAAGCATTGTCTCACACTATGTGCACAATAATGTGTGCATGTACAGTTTGGCCATTAATATTTTTCATCCTGATACAATTTTTGTTCCTGTCTGTGGTACTGAGTATATAATAGGATTATGTGATTAACAAAGACCTAATGTTTGGAGGAGTAGCTATCTGCCTCTGGTGGAGTCTGGTAAGAACCAGGAGATCTGGTAAGATATGTCCTGGAGTTATTGAAGTTACTGACTCTGGGCCTGAACCGCATAATACATAAAATAAACACCCTTCTGAAGAAGCCAAGGGGGCATCTGGAAGACATCTCTTAATTCCATTACACCTCTGTCTTCCATTGTACAGTTCCTGCCATTTCTCACAGTATCCAGTATTATATAAAATATATTAATAGCAAGCAGCGTCTTGGGATGGCACATATGTCTCTTCTACCAAGTAAATTAGTACAACTGGACTTTGTGGGTTTTTTTCCCCCTTTTCATTTCCTTCACAGGGAGAGCACTTTCCTTTGTCAACAAGAACTTCTTTGATGATTCCAATGGGAACAGAGGTGGTGCACCCAACGTGGCCATAGTGATGGTGGATGGATGGCCCACGGATAAGGTGGAAGAGGCCTCAAGGCTGGCAAGGGAATCTGGCATTAACATTTTCTTTGTCACCATTGAAGGACCAGATGAAAATGAAAAGCAGAATGTTATTGAACCAAATTTTGTGGACAAGGTAATAGGGATTGGGGTACATCAGATCAGAGACAATACATAGGCTTTAGTACTGTGAATGAATTCACTTTGAACAACAGTTCACCTTTTGGGGAGGCTCAATATAGAAGTGGGACATCTTTGTCCAATATATGTGGAAGGCTGACTGGCGACTGCTCTGGCTTGTAGCTGAGGTTTGCTGGGTGGAATACAAGTGTGAAAAGTCCAAGAGAAGTAGCTAGGAGAGAGCAATCAAGTTACTTCAAAACCTACATCAAGGTGCATAGTGTTAAGACATGTTTACCGAACTCTGTGTGCTGTTCCCTACAGTTTTTCTCCAAAATACTTGAAAATTCTGGATGCGCTTCAGTTAGAACTCATTCTCAGAAGCAATATGGTTTAGAAACTGGTTATCCATTACAGAATGGCTATTCAACTGAGTGACGTCAGCATGCAGCTGTGGCTAGAAGCCTGGCAAATGAGCCCATGTAAAAGAAGCAGAGTGGATTTTGGGCACTGTCCTTCAAAAAACAACCCCCACCCGGACACTCTTTCCTGTTAATTTCGTACTTTCTGCTCTCTCTCTGCCATGAAGCACATTTCACAGGAGCTTCAAAGGCCCTTAATACCTTCAGCTGGGAAGTCTCCAGGCTGAATCTGACTTAAAAATCTTGATTCTATTTAGGTTTTCAAAAGGCCAGAGCCACAGTGAACAACTGTGCACCCGCCAGATTGGAAATGCAGTTAGACAAGGAACACCCATATTCAGCGATCAATGGTTATCCTGATCTTAGAATGTGGAACAATTTACAAAGAAATAAGATCAGAAAGATATGTAATTAATCTTGAATGTATGTACACAATAGGGCCCATTCAAATGATATTTTTGCAGCATGAACACTGCTCTAGTGAAACGCATGGATACACATCACCACTTCCCAGTCATAGATGGTGCTGGCTTGCAAAGTAACCATGTTTAGTAACCATGTTTTTCCGCCTGGCCATGTGGTTCCTTTTTCATATGTTAGTGAAGAGTCTTAGGAGTGGACCTTACAATATGCCAAATAGTAGCTTTTCACATGAAGTTGTTATATACTGCGTCAGACCAATGGACCAACACTGTCTTCATATTGAGCAGTAACTCTCCATGATCTCCACTCTGCCTTCTTTCCTGTTTCCTTAAATCCTTTCTTAAACTGGGTGGGCCAGGAACCTTTTGCGCAGAAAGCATGTGTGCTGCCGTTCAGCTATTAGTCCTTACTACTGTACACATTTCTCAGGGAAACAATCACAACACATTCATAAATTATAACGCAAATGTTCTGCTTTTTTCCCATCTCTTTTCCAGGCTGTGTGTAGAACCAATGGCTACTATTCAATCAATGTTCCCAGTTGGTTCAGTCTGCATAAAATAGTGCAGCCTTTAGTGAAAAGAGTCTGTGACTCCGATCGCCTTGCGTGTAGCAAAACCTGCCTAAATTCAGCAGACATTGGGTTTATCATTGATGGGTCCAGCAGTGTGGGCACTGGCAACTTCCGCACGATCCTCCAGTTTGTAGCCAACATAAGCAAAGAATTTGAGATTTCTGATACAGATACACGCATTGGCGCAGTGCAGTACACATATGAGCAGAGGCTGGAGTTCAGCTTTGATAAGTACCACACTAAACAAGATGTCCTGAATGCCATCAAAAGAATCAATTATTGGAGCGGTGGGACCAGCACTGGAGCAGCCATCAACTATGCCTTTGAACAGCTCTTCAGCAAGTCCAAACCTAACAAAAGGAAGATAATGATCCTGATTACAGATGGCAGATCTTATGATGATGTCCGGGGGCCAGCAACAGCTGCTCACCACAATGGTAAATATTATATCTTATAAACACCCATTTGAATGGCTTCATGTGTACCAGTGTTGCGATGAAGTTATGGATCTAAAATATTGCTCTTAAATTATGCAAGCCTCTTCCTCAAGTGGAATTTTTGCAAAGGAAATAAATCATGAATTTAGCATACTCAGTTATGATTAACCCCCCCCCCCCATGTTGACACACAACTGCCAAACATTGGCAGAAGGGGAAGAGGCAGTGAGAATCTCAGAACATTAAATAAGCACACGACAGCAAGGAGATATGCTTTATTGTACTTTGTATGGTTTGGTGGAGAGCCAGTTTGGTGTAGTGGTTAAGTGCGTGGACTCTAATCTGGGAGAACCGGGTTTGATTCCCCACTCCTCCACTTGCACCTGCTGATGTGACCTTGGGTCAGTCGCAAGCTCTGGCACAGCTGTCCTTGAAAAAGAGCAGTTTGTGTCAGAGTTCTCTCAGCCCCACCCACCTCACAGGGTGTCTGTTGTGGGGAGGGGGAGGGAAAGGAGTTTGTAAGCCGCTCTGAGGCTCCAAGTGAAGGGCGGGGCATAAATCCAATCTCCTCCTCTTCTTTTTTTACTACAAAAAAGTTCTTGACTGGAAGGACTTTGTAACAAAATATTGTACCATTTTTGAAGGGGAAAAGTTGTGTATATCTGTCCATCCGCTCTGAGACTCCAAGTGAAGGGCAGGGTATAAATCCAATCTCCTCCTCCTCCTCCTCCTCCTCCTCCTCCTCTTCTTCTTCTTCTGCTGCTGCTGCTGCTGCACTGGAGCATCTGTTTTCTAGTGATACAGGAATGCTACCTGAAACATGCTCAGTCAAATGCACATGGCTTTGCTCAGCATTAACGACTGTAGGGAGGTGAGAGACTGTGGCTGCAGAGCACAGCATTTCACCTCCCAGAACAGAAGCTCTGGAGCAGATGCTGGAACTAGCACTGAATCATTGGGAAAAAGTAGATCACTCACAGCTTTTGTGCAGACAACAGTCGTCTTTCACTGTCATATACTATGAATATTTTAAAGATTAATTTAAATGTAATACTGTTTGGAACTAATGCACAGATTGATTACATGCTTCTGTTTTTCACTTCAGGAGTCATTGCCTATTCAATAGGAATTGCATGGGCTGCCCAAGATGAGCTAGAAGCAATTGCAACCGACCCTGATAGACAGCACTCATTCTTTGTGGATGAATTTGATAGCCTTTACAGATTTGTTCCGAGGATCATCCAGAATATTTGTACAGAGTTTAATTCACAGCCACGAAACTGAGCAGAACAGCATGTTCTATTGCATGCCATGTCCATTACTATCGCACAAGGTGATATAAAATGTTATCCGTGGACATAACCAGTTAAGACTGCCAATTTTAGTTCTGATCCCGATACGAGGCAATAAGGGTATACTGTAGACCAATGCATTTTCTCTTCTGTAGGTTTCAAATCTTATTTAATAGAAAGACATGTACAATCATTAGATTAATTCAGTTGACTCAAATCCAATGTTTGAAATTACACAGAGTGAAGGAAGAATAGTTCAAGTCTATATAACCCAGAAACGTGTGATTGAAATCTTGGCTGAGCCAGAGATTTTATGCATTAATAATGTTCTATTCCACTCTGGCGATAAAGAAGGAATCAAATGGCTAGCCTTCATGTGACTTTCAAATGCTTTACTTAGAAAAGCCTTTCCAACCATGAGAAATCTCACTTTATCCTGCCAGACTGGAAGGTCGAAAAAGTTAACATACAATATACACAGACAACAAAATGTGTAATTGCCAACATACTTTGGCTGGGGTACGGACCCTATCATACACATGTAACAGTACTCATACTTCAGGGGTTGCTGCTTCAGTGGTCCTCTGGGGGGGGAGCATGGGGGTTTCTGGTGGAAGGGAAGCTGAAAAGATCCCATACTCAAATTGGAGGTCACTCACAGAGCTCATGATCTTGTCTTTTAATCGTGATTCGTTGGCAGAAGTGGACAGGATGGAAGCAAGCAAAAAGCAACAACATATTAATAAGAATTGAAAGACATGTTGAATGCAGAATAAAAATAAGGGTCACAGTGCAACCTAGAAAACACTTCTCCCTTGGCTCCCCCCTCACTGTATATTAATTTATGCTACATCCCTGTATAGGTATAGTTGAAATATTTAAAGAGTAGCCCTGGGCAGGGGTCATTTCCTGCAGGAGCACACAGGAGTGGAGCTCTGGCAGTAAAGAGCCCAGGGAGCAGGCAACAAGTCCCGCCCCCTGCCCCTCAGTCCAAAACAGTCCAGTGGCACCTTTAAGACCAAGTTTTATTCAGGTAGAAGCTCTCCCTCCTCTGCGAGGACAGATCTGCACATTCCCCCCCCCCAATAGCTAGCAATCAAAAACAGTCCAGTGGAGCCTGAGTGGTGGGTGTTGCCTTCTGACACACTTCCGGTGATGTCAGGGGGTGTGGCGTATGCAAATGTTATGCTAATGAGTTATGCTAATGAGCTCCTGCACCTCTTTTTGTACGAAATGACCCCTGGCCCTGGGCAAAGAGATGTTGATTATTGAATTGAACATGATTGCTGCAATACATGCCAAGCCAATTCTGCCTACATCCCAGCAAGGAAATGATAGTGAAAACATATGGTTCCTTCTTTCTTGCCTTCACAAAGAACAGCAGCTTCCTGCACCCAAAAGGACCATGGGAAGTGATCCATAAAAGGCAGGCAACTTTGACCCCTCTCCAGATTTAAAAATCAAGCTGTAGGTAGCAGCGGCAGTTTTTTTAAAAATCATGTGAACTGACTATACAGTTGTGCCTGAAATGCTTTGCAAACCTAACACAGAAGGTGCAACAACAGTACTTTATTTATTCTGTAGCCCATCAACCAGAAGTTTATTTATGGTATCAGAATCTAACTAAGGAAAGGCCTATATGTTTTTCAGAGTCATCACACACAGAATGCAGCACACCACCAAGATGGATGAGAATGATGCTGTCTTCAGACTGAATCTAACCATAATAAGCATTTATTTATTATTTAATAAGCATTTAACTCAGACATGGAAATATGTTTAGCCAGCCTATTTGTCCCACAACACCACACACAGACACAGAATGGGACCTTTTCCATAGTCTAAGGCAAGTGACTGCCTCATATACCTAGAAAAAACCACCCCGAAATAGTGAAGCAGCTTACGTGCCACGTTATCAGAAAATAAGTGCAGTGAGAATTCCCCTTCACTCATATACAAAAACGCAGAGCTGTAGCCCCTTCATTGTCACAGCCACATGCCCACAGCAGCTTTTGGTAATATGGATAAGCAAGCTATGACATGCCAAAGAGAGCCAGTTGGGTGTAGTGGTTAAGTGCACAGACTCTAATCCGGGAGAACCAGGTTTAATTCCCCATGCTTCCACTTGCAGCTGCTGGATGACCTTGGGCAAACCATAGTTCTGGCACAGCTGTTCTTGAAAGAGCTCTCTCAGCCCCACCTACCTCACAGGGTGTCTGTTGTAGGGAGGGGAAGGGGAAGGAGTTTGTAAGCCCCTCTGGGACTCCGAGTGAAGGGCGGGATATTAATCCAATCTCTTCTTCTTCTTCTAAATGAACTGCTTCTATAAACATGTGAAAATGAGGGTATTTTGAATTACTTTTTAAAGGACTTTTTCAGGTTTGCTTTGAATCTTTATTCATATACTGGTATTATTCCTAAAATGACTAAGTGATAGTAAATTCCTTTGTTTCTTAAAACAAGAAAAATTTCAGTCTCAGATTATAGAGGGAACTACTTGGCAAAACACATCTGTTACTGAAAATGGTAACCATGTTGACTCCCCTGACCATAATATGTAATGCAGCTTACCCTGTATATGCCAGAGGCATAATGCTGCAGCTTCTCCAAATTACCTGCCTACCATTTTTCTTCTCATCTTGACACAAAGAGTACTCCATCCTTCTGTGTTATACCTCTGAGGATGCCAGTCACAGCTACTGGCGAAATGTCAGGTTCTACAATGCCAAGACCACGGCCACACAACCCAGAAAATCTACAGCAACTAACTTCTCCACATTGTTAACTGTTGCTGGGGACAGAGAAACTGTGATAACATTGGGACCCACAATAAATTTAATTATATGTAATGGAGGGGGAAGATGAAAACATGCTTTTAGGTATCAGTCTTGAGTTCCGTGTAACGTGTTGTCTACATCTGTCCACATTTTAAGCTAAAGCATGTTCTCTAGTCCTGATTTCCCTGTTTAAGTGGCTCACCTGCAACATTTTTCAGCATTAACATTTTTGCAGAGATTTTGTTGATAAAACATAATTTTGTAAATCTCCATTTCCAAAACATGACTTTGTAAATCTCCCGTTTTTACTTGTGTACGTGTATATTTGAAAGAAGGAAGCAGCACTCCTTTTCTAACATTGTAAGAGTATTTCATAATAAGCTGCAGTACCTTTTACAATAAAAGATAAGAGTACATATTAGGTCCACTTTGTTTCGTTTTTTCCTTCAAACATTTGTAAAACGAATGCGACAATTCTTTTTCCAATAGCATCCAAGGGGCTCCCTCTCTCTTCGGAACCAAAGACTGCACTGCAGACTCTTTCATCACGGGATATATGAGGAGGCTGTCAGTAGTGTCTACTGAATGACAGCAGCATCCAGGTGCTCAGTAAAAAGTCCCAACTGACAGTGATGGAGCTTCTCCATGCATGCAACATATGTATTCTAGCATCAAGCTTTGGCTCGCAGTCATTAGGCTTATTCGTCTAACTAGAAAAAAACAGCCAGGATTATTCTACCTTCTTTTACCATTGCAGCAATTTTTACTATTTAACACTGGGGCTAATGACTTTTTTTAAAAAAACCCTCATCTGCTTTTACAGTCTACATTCTAGTGATATTCTCAAGGCTGGTTTATTTGAAAGATTTAGATTCCACATTCTTCCATGTAAGCCTTCAAGGCGGCTTTAAAAAAAAAACTTG